TCTTTCCCAAATGTACGACCTGAAAATAAAAACCAACTGTCAGCAATGAATACAACTCGAAATACTTTTATTTCAGAATATGTTCACTCGGACATTATTTCTCCTGGTGACAGAGCAGACAATTTTTCTTCTGAAGTTCAGCACGAATCACTACGTACGGAGAGGAGCCCGAAAAACAAGACCAGGAAGCTGGAGTTCTCTTGTCAATTTGTATCACATTCACCATAGGTGAGACGGGACTAAATATTCTTTGAAGGGGAATTTGGATCCATCCCTTATTCCTCAACCAGGGTGTCCATGAGTTCCCAAAGCAGTGGCATAACCTAGCATCGCATCTGCGGCTTGTTTTGTCTCCAATGTCAAGATGGTCTCTTTCAGCCAGTCCTTGGCCACTTCTCCAGCTGCTCCATTAAGGAGATTTAAATACTGGACGGCCTGTAGAAGATCTCCCTTATCCATGCAGGCCCTGATGGAGAAGAGAGAAGAATCGAATGGAATCGGCACGATTGACGAGACGAGAAAAGTATCGTGGAGGAAACAAACTCTACCTGGCTCGATCGATGACTTCAAATGGCGAGAGGGATTCCACGTCGACGGGTCTTTCCTTAAGTTCCTCATTGGGAACGATCTCATGCTTCCTGAGCACTAGCATGTTCATGATGTATGCAAAGCCGTAACGTAGCAAGGAGCCGCCCTTCTCGTCGATGAAGGCCACCTTCCGGGCGGAATCGGCCACTTGCACGAAGCGATCTTTGAGGGCCTCTTCCGGGAACACTCCTCGACTCAAGGCTTCCTTCGGGATCGAACTCAATACGGCCAGGATGAAGGCATCGTCCGTACCTGCATCAGAAAGACCATCATCTCTCACTTTGGACGGAATGACTGACTGGGGAAGACGGCTGAGCAGACTCACCGGCAGCATTGGCTACATCGGACACTTCTCTATCCAAGGGCTTCAGTTGTTCCTCCCAACTCCTAGCCGATGGAGATCCAGCACGAAGGCTTTGTTGAAGGATAGAGCTGGCTAGCCACAAGCGCTGCGCTTTCTTGAATGCATCTTCCCCCGCAGCTCGTTCTGAAATCCAAAATTCAATTTGGCCATCATTACTGGATACCGGGTTTACCGGGTTCCTTCCACTTAACCGTACTCTATCACCTATTACCTTCAAAGAACAATAATATTTAATTAGGTCCCCTCCCGTTTTCTTCCTCCCAGATGTCACCATGGCAACCCAATGCGAAGATTGAGGCAAACACCCACATAAAAACAAGTGGGATGACGGCGACATACCGATAGAGTCGTCCACTGCGGATTTCCACAGACCATAAAATGAGAAGAGCTTCGTGACCATGTATGTAATAATAACCCGATGCTATTCATGCTCTCTGACGCACAGGATAAAGGGGGGAAAAGTACAGGGTAGTTATCTCTTGGATCTATGAGAGACCACAAAGAGAAGTTCAGGGGGAAAATATAGTGGTTTCGGAAACGGACACGCGAAGGGGGAATGTGCATTACCTTCGCGTAGTTAGGAATCGGTACACAGGAGCAGCTCGGAAAGGACAAGGGGAAAGGGAGAACAAAGGACAGTAGTTCTGGAATCAATCCAACATGTCGAAGAGCAACGAGGTCGTCCTCATGCTCCAGAATAATTGGATGTCTATTACAGTTGCGATAGGACTCTGGATCTCATCTCTCTCGTTCTATACTTTCCTTTCTCTCCTTCCATCTCCTCTAGTATACGGATCTCCAGAAAATTAATGTCATGCAAGAGAGAGATTTACTATCCATTTTTCATGACAGGAAGCCTCCAATCCGCTTTCCCACACAATTGGGAGTGTGGAACCGAATTTCCCGGCTTCTTGCCTCTCTGCTCATGTTACACGATGCCACTCCTAGTAGCGAGATGAGTATGTCCCGTCAGAGTCAACCTTGACTGCAACTCCCTCCGACGTCTAACTTCTTTCTAGCGTCTCCTGCTTAAGCCGATCCCAATGCTAATTTTCGAACCCAGAGATCTATTTAATTGCGAAATCCTGTTGATATCCTGGCTCCATAGTATAGTTAGTTATCCATGACAGTTTCATCTTACATGATAAATCTCATAGCTAGCAGTGG